CTCTGAGTCAGAAAGAAGAAACCAAGTTCCTGTTTACGCTCCATAAATATTGATGCATATTTTTAATATTGTAAATATTTTTTGCTCATCTGGCAGAGGGACAAGTCTCTTTCTTAAAAAACATTAAGACAAAAGTTCAGTGGACTTGAGCTTAATTTGATTTGTTGGTCAAAGTAGGGCTAGGTTTTTATTAATGAACCTGTAGAAGGATTATCAGTTGCCTGCAGCTGCCTTTGTCTCCAGATTGCTCAGGTTCTCTAACCTGGTATGCTTTCAGTATTTGTGACAGTTGGCTTTCTGCGTTGGCTCTCTCTTGTCTGCTTCCAGCTGCTGTGTAGGTCTCCTGAGGCTCACAAGCCCACTGCCACTTGCGGCTAGCTGTGTCCTTACCTGCACCCACAGCCGTCTTACAGTGGAGGCCAAAGGCTGGCAGGGAATCACGTGTGCCCTTGCAAAATGAGATTTATGGTCATAAACACCCCATGGTGTTTTTAACCCTCATTGTATTTAAAGTTCAATAAAATCTCAGTTCAGTGACTTTATTATGTTTACTTTAAGGAATAATCATTGTTAATAATATAGATAACAGTAATCAGTATTATTATGTTTGCACTAATCTAGCAGCTTGCAGTCATATTAATCTCATACACAAATGCCTGGGTAAAACTCTAAATTCATGACCTTTATTTCCAGGAGTTCAAAGAACAACTTTGCTATGAAATCGCCATGGTAAATGATAAATGGACTGGTATTTATGGTTTTTATAAGTGCTTTATACAACATGCCTAATTCACCCTTTCACACAAGCACTTCTTTCTACACCTAAGTGCTCTCTGATGTGTTTCTTATTAACACTTGGAGCATAACTTGGGGTTCAGTATCTTGCCTAAGGATACTTTGGCATGCAGACTGGAGCAGCAAGAGATTTAACAAACAAACTTCCAATTAGCTGACCTGCTTAGCTGGTAATGGCTAGTTTAAAAAAATCCTAATACAGTATTATTTTGCGGTGGAAACCATTTTTCCTTTTTAATCAGAGTTTAGGAAGCACTGAGAGACTTAATGTTGCTGAATCAAATTACAGTTGACATGGTTTTATTAAATGGTGGGTTTTTTTGTTTGCCTTCCTATAGCTACTGTGACTGTTTTGCAAATGGAGAGTTCTGCAATAACTGTAACTGCAATAACTGCTTCAATAACCTGGAACATGAAACTGAACGTCTCAAAGCTATAAAGGTGAGGCAGAAGTCCACTTTCTGAATTCTGTTTTTGGGCTGAACTGCATCCTGTTTGACTCATAAATTGCTGCACAAACATGTTTTCACAGACTTGTCTGGACCGAAACCCAGAGGCCTTTAAACCTAAAATTGGTAAAGGCAAGGAGGGAGAGTCGGACCGTCGACACAGCAAGGGCTGCAACTGCAAACGCTCAGGCTGCCTGAAGAACTACTGCGAGTGCTACGAGGTAAGCTCTCCAGTTTTCTTTTTTTTACAGATGGCGTCACCTCCATTCATTCTTCTCTTATTGGCATTTATTTTCTTCATTTTTGTTTCTCTTCACAGGCGAAGATCATGTGTTCGTCCATTTGTAAATGCATCGGCTGCAAAAACTTTGAGGAGAGCCCGGAGAGGAAGACGCTAATGCATTTGGCAGATGCAGCAGAAGTGAGAGTTCAGCAGCAAACGGCAGCCAAGACCAAACTATCCTCACAGATCTCAGATTTGCTCATGCGGACGACGCCTGTGATTTCAAGTGGAAGTGGCAGGTACCTGAAACACAGTTCACACATTTTTCAACATAAAATCAAATCTGCAAAGAGCTTCTTTTACAGTAAGCATATGATATGTACTTTTGTAGAATCTTTAGCTTTAGCTAAAGTGTTGCACAAGTAAGGGCTGCAGGAGATTGACTGACAGATTGATACAGGATCTGCAGTGATGCGGACACAGTACCACAAGAATTAGAAATGATCTTCCAGTGAAGGGTGGCTGGACACTCCTTTAGAGAGAGGGTGAGGAGCTCAGTCATTTGGGAGGGACTGGAGTTGCATCTTTTGATGGCTTATGAAGGCCTTTATGTCACCCTGCAAGAGGTGTCCAGGAAGAGGGAGATTGGGTGAATCTGGATCCTGATACTCAGGAGAGATGAGTGAATAAAGCACTTATCTTTCATTTTATTTCAACAATAATGGCTACATCCCAGATACCTGGGCACCCTGGGCACCAAACCAATACCAGTGTTAAATTAATAAGCTGTATAGAAGAAGACACTCAGAATCTCTGTCATCTGCAATGCAACATCAAATTTGACCTAAACTACCTCAACTTTAAAACTTTAAGTAGAGACGTACGCGCTTTCAGAAACGGTGCAAAATGTGTGTGTTTCCTGTACAAGCTGCAGGAGTGTCAGCACATCTATATGAAGCTATGGAGGGGGTCATTAAAACTCACTTGTGTCTGATTGACATGGAGTCTCCACGATCCATCTGCTTACTACTGCTGAGACCAGATAATGATGGCTTTGTTGTCAATACTCAGACTTTTATTTTGCTTTTCCCCCAGGCTCCCGTATACGTTTGTAACAAAGGAAGTGCTTGAAGCAACATGCGAGTGTCTGCTGGAGCAGGCCAAAAAAGCAGAACAGACTCACCAGCCTCAAGTTGAGGCAGAGAGGATGATTCTGGAGGAGTTTGGACACTGCCTCATGAGGATAATCAGCTCGGCAGGGAAAGCCAAATCAGACTGTGCCTCCATCAACTGCTAGGCCGAGGCCTGTAAAGGCTCTCCACCCTCTAACCCTCCTACCAGCTGTGGAGGCTAAGAGCATGGATTACTTTTTGCACTCTGTCCTAGACCCCAGGGTTTCTGGCCTGCAGGGAAACAGGTTGTCTCCTTTATCAGAAGGCAGAACATTGAACTGAAGGCAGGCAGATCCCACCCCCACCCCCCTGCCTTAGCCAAGCTGAGGCCAGCTGGAATAATAAAAAACATGGAGCAGTTGTTTGCACTGTTCACCTATGCTAACAGAAGGAGAAATGGACTGACTTTGAAGACGTTACCATACTTGTCCACCTGAGTGTGATGCACACAAATGACTGAACAGGAATACAAATGTTCTTTCACTTGATTTTCTTTTTTTTTCTCCCCCCCCAAATTTCCCTTCCAAACCTCTATCAAATGTTTCCTTCACATTTGCTCTTCCATTTCACTCTGGGTTTTTTTAGGTTTGTTTTGAGGTTTAAAAAAATGCCTGTAATTTTATGTAATCCGTATATTTGTGCTTTCAGTAGACAAAAAAAGAATATGTATCTTTTGATATTTATTTTCACAGGTATTTGTAATCATTGTCAGCGCTAATATTGTGTGGCTTCAAATGCTACAACATGTTAATTATTAACCAAGGCTAGGCTAAATTGTTTTAATGAGAAATAAGTAGATGCAATCTTTGGTTTTATCCTAAATTCAAATGTAAGATGAATGCATACACACACACACACACACACACACACAGAGTACAGAATAGTTGTAACTTGGTTACACTGACAGAGGTTCACATTTTTCCTGGTGCTGTTTTGTTTTCTTAGTTACATGCTTACTGTACATTAAAGACCAATTACACCCACGTGACTTGTTTAGTGTTCTTTCAGATATCTGGACACGATAGCCTGAGTGTTAGTGTTTTCCAGCCCTGTCCACACCTGTGTACCTTTAGACCCTCTGTCTCAGTTTTAGTCTGGCCTAAGCTATAAAGCTGAGACTTGTGAACAAGGGCTGGAAGAGCTGCTTGTTGTGCTTCTAAGTAAACAAATGTGGGCAAAGCTTCTTTTTATGTTTGTTTGGTTTTTTTTCTATTTAGGTTATAAACTTCAAACAGAAAAGTTATTCACGGAGTTCCACGGGAACACTGTCCCAGTACTGTCAATGAAGCTAGATGACACAAATCAATTAAAATACAGGACACTGAGAAACAAGTGTTGTAAAACCCATTTAAAAAGCATTCAGCTGATCCAAAACGCTATATCAAGTATGCTAACAGGAAAAGAGATCATATTTCTCTTATATTGTTTTCTCTTTCTTGTTCTGCCTTTGAGCACCATTACAGACCTGCTAGTTCTATTATTTTTCATTAGTTCTCTCATGTACACACTCATATACAGACATGATATATCTGTCAGCATACATTCAAGTAATCACTTCAGTCTGCTGAAGAAGGCTCATTAACCAAAGCATGCTACAGCATCTGCCAAACATGCTGGAGGTGGAAGCATTGCTATGGCAACTCTGTATACCTGCCATTGGAACTAAGTCACTGGTGTATATTGATTATGTGACTGCAGATAGAAGAATTCCTCACTCTCTGCTCAGACTCAGCCAAAACTGACCGGATGGAGTTTCACAGTGTAAATGGATAATTTCTTTGCAAAGAAATGGGCTGTCCTTCAAAGGATAGGTCAGTCGTCTGATCATACAGGTTACTGAAGAAAAGGGGAAGGCAGAGAGACGTTACTGTGTGCTGTGTTTTTTAAGAAAAAGAAAAGAAGAAATGTCAATTACTTCTAGACTTCAGGCAGTTGTTGACTGCAAAAGATCTTCATGCAACTAAAGAGTCCTTAAATTTGAAATGATGTCAATTTGTCCAATAACCTTTGAACATATAAAAATAGGCAACTTTGCATAGAAATATTTGTAATTCCTAAAAAGTTAGCAGAAAATTGTTTTACAAGTCACTGAATTAAAGCTAAAAGTCTTATTATTAGGTAGACATGGTACATGCAGGTGCGATTACTGAGATAAAACAGTGCAACGTGTCGGATGTGTGAGGCAGAAAGAAAGAAGGTTGAGTAGATTTTAACTGGGTCTATTACAAATATAAAGCAACGGGGGTTATCAAGTTGTATCTCTTTATGTTGATTTTCTGTACCACTTGGTGGCGACAGTCATTGGTGGTGGCAATCCACCACTTCGTTGTTTGACCGTCGAAGAAGAAGAACAGCAAGAAGAAGACACGCAAAGAAGAAAAAGAAGCCGAAGGAGAACCATGAGTGTTGGTGTTGGCGGTCAGTATCATGGCTGGGAAAATAAGGCTCTCAGAGAAAATTAGTTTCTGAAATGCGAATTGTTATATGTACCTTAAATTGCATTATCTACACCATTCCTCTAGGTTAAATGTGTAGACGGTTTGGGGAGTTAGCTCACTTCTGAACGTGATTTGAAACGAGGTGTGGCATTGAACGTTAGCCCAACTAACCCCTCTGCACGTGTGGAGAGAGACTAGGTTGCAAACTTTGCTGGTTTGGTGAAAAAGTAAAATGTTGATCAAGAGTCGCCGCCAGCAAATTAAGCCAACATTTTCTGAAATCGGAGTAAACGCTTAAAAAAAATCGGCGCACATCCCATAATTGTAATTCAAATTTATTTATTTTTTGCAAAATACAACTGTACGATAATCGTATTTTGCAGGCAACTTATGTTCTGATTCGTGTGCTGGTTTATATAGAAACTAATTGATTTTGTTTTCACAGGTTAGCTGCAGAAAAGAAGTTCCCTTGAAGTGAGCCACGTGTGGATGTGACTTGCATGTATGTATGTCTTCATGCCCAACAACATATTGTGAAATAAATATCCTTCCCAATGATTATACCAATCACTACCCATCTGACCCATTCATATGTCTGGGGAAGATTATACACACGCTTTCAAATGAGGGTGTTATCTTATATTTTCTTAACTAAAGTGCACCTCTACTGTTAAATTTAACAGTTTATTTTATCACTCCGATTGTTTTTACAGGGTTCAACTGCTGAAATGTTTCCCCGAGTTCAGGTGATGTATTGATATAGATGCATAATGACCTGACTGCTTTGCCTTCATGTTACTTTAAATTTGTTGTCAAATAAAATCAACTTGTCAAGAAAGTTTTGTTTTGTGACATTCATTGGCTGTTGCTACTTTTTTAGTACATATATTAAAACAATGCAGAAAAATACATTGCCTCTGATTCTCTTTACTGTTAGCATTGATAGAGTCAGACGGCTAATGTTGTAGATAAACTATAGTTACTCTAGTTCTATAGTTATGATTTTGTCCTACTGCTTTATCGCTATTTGGTGCTAATTTGTTTTTAAAAATTGGATTAATCCCTCCCCAAGATATTTGAACAGTTGTTAAGTAGGTAACTGAACAAGATTTAATGACAATTTGAGTCAAAACAGGCAAAAATATTTTATAAAATGTTATTTTTGGCCTGTGAGACTTCTTTTGTAGACTTGGCCTGTGAGACTTCTTTTGTAGACTCAGCAAATCTGGACCTTTTTCTTAATAGTCACTCTGTTAGTAACCAAGTTTCTAAAGATAGAATTTAAAATGTGTTTTTTTCTATTTTGTATGTTATGTGCAAAAAATTAAATTCCATGTAGTTTTTATGTTTAAAGCACCAAAAGATACACCTGTTATTTATTCCTATCGCTTAGGTGCCCTTTTTATGAGTGTCAAGTGGCTTAAACAAACAAAAAGGAATCACTCCTTTCAAAATGGTGCCGTACAAGAACTGAATGTGACTGAAAAAATAAAACCCTAAAAGAACAGCAAGAATGCCGAGAAAACTACAGCTCGAGTCACTGGGAGCAAAATATAAATGAATGAGGGGTGGCTAAAGATTTTTGCATATTACTGTAAATGAAATGCTGAAATACTTTAAATGATATAAAGACCGGTTCGTTACTATTCCTACTCCTTAATAAAGAAACACTTTAAAATGATAAATGCTCACATAAAATAGTTATTACTAATATTTTTAGCGTTTCTTATAAAAATCTTAACATTAGCATAAGTTAGCAAACAGGGAGAAGCTCCCCCGGAAGTCGTTCTTCTTCGTGGCAGGAGGAGGCTGTTGCTTAGTGCCACGTTGATGGAGACCAGTGGGGACGTGGAAATCTGTCTCGAGTCCGCAGCCGGGACCCGGTAGCCTCTTCTTCTGTTTCTACAGCTGTAAATCCCTGAGCAGAATCGAAAGGGGAACCTGTACGGGCGGAGACAGTTAGTGTTTGCCTACTGTTTTTTTAATGTGTGCGTTCATGTGAAAAGAAGAGAAGAAGAGAAGGTAAGCTGCTTTAGTGAAGTAATAAGATCTGTGTGCGGGTTTGTGTGAGTGTGTAACTGTTTCTTCTCTCATATGTCCCTGCAGGTAGCTAGCAGGCTTCTAAACACAATATCTCATTGCAGCCGCATTAGTCCAAGCTGAACCATGTCGTAGTAAACATGTACAAGAAGTGACAATAAATTTACGCGCATTTCTCGTATTATTCGAGGCTCATAAACGACACGGCTGTGTGGCTTTTAATTGGTCCACCAGCTGTTAGCTTGCTGCTAGCAAGGACTTTTATTTTGTAATTTTAACCAAACGACTGCAAAACTTCTCGGAGCTTCTTTTAAAGCTAAATGTAGCATTTCTGATGTCCTTTTCCGACACAGCCCCGAGCTACACAAAGCGTGTGATAATTAGTGCCAGTCAGAGCAGGCCTTTGTTACTCTGTAACTAGTGTATTTATTACAGCAGCAAGATGAATGGGAAAGCGTGTGTAAAACTGTAACTACTTGTTTATTAAGCGGTCCGCTCCCCTCGATGTAAAAGAGACAGATTCACACTTTTGAAAGTCGTTATTAATATGGTATTAAAATTCTTTGATATTGTTAGCACACCTAACGGAAAATAATCCATAGCAGTCCTGCAATAAATGCAACTCCATGAAGATGTTGTGTTGTGGTTGAACTGATAGAAAAGTCAACACATAAAAAGTTATCAATATTGATTTTTGTTTCCACAGCAGATTTCTGCTTATATATCCAGCCTGTCATAAGTGTCTAATGAACACTTAACAGTGTTTACAATGTGGTAAACGATGCTATAACTCAAATAAACAATTCAGTAAGATTCAGCTGGAACCTCTAAAGCTGGAACCTCTAAAGTGATCATACCTTGGGGAAACGCTAAGAAGAAACTGCACATGTTAACCTTTATAAAGCTACCATTAAAAAGCATTGTATTTAGCCACTTCATTTGAAACTGATTGTTTAAGCTCTTTTTTATTGTCATAAAAACTAAACTACATGAAAGGATTCAATATCTGGTTTTTCTGAACGCTAAAGTGAGAGAAAAGTGTCATAAATAAATTGTAATAATCACTGCACAGTCGTTCAAACTATGCCCTTATTTCTCAAGGATGAAACTTAAAGTGATCAACCGCACAGCCATCCAGAGCTGGAGTCCTGCACAGCACCACCCCATCTACCTGGCAACAGGTATGAGCATGCAGAGAGCATCAGTACAGGCGTGCATCTGCTGCCGTCTGTCACTTTGACATGAAATTACATCATTTATGTCAGTTACTTCAGCCATTTTCACAGCCTCTTTAAGTGGAAAATGACATGTTTAGTGTTGTATATTTAGGGCTGCAAGCATGTGGGACATTTAATCATGTGAAGACGATGCAGGCTTCAGAATTCTCTATGAAGTTGTCCTTATTATGAAAATAGCAGGAGGCCAGGGCAAATATTTGTAAAAGTGGGTGCTATCAGTGAACTTTTAACCCATATTCACTAAATAAGAATGAATGATAAATCAACTCCGCACCTCTGGAGACAGAGTTGTTATGGTGTGACTGTACAAACTGTAGTTGGTGTTAATGAATAGAGTATTTTATCTGTAATTTACACTTAATGTGATGCTACCACATTTTCTGTTGTCAGGACTGTAAGGCACATGAACTAATACAGTCTCTCACCTTCCATTTCCATAGTCTTTAAAATGCTCCGCAGCTCTCGTCAGGTTTTTTTTGAATGTACACCAACAGAAAATGTTCTGTCCCATTTCAGCTGGGTTTTCTTCTGTTTCAATTTTAGCCATCATACTGTTGTTTAATCCCTGTTTTACATATTTGACATGATATAGTAAATGTATTAGATAGTAATTGATCATATGAGCTATTCTTATTAGTAAAATACACTTTTAAAAGAATTTATTTAACTTATTTTTGCAGAAATAGCTGGAAGGTTTTTTTTCCTCAAATAATGAGCAGTACCATGCAGATATGTAATATCACAGTTTAAGAATGGATGGATACTAGAAAGGCAAAATTTGCCAAATAAATGATGCTGCACATCCCCAAGAATCAGTTGTATGAGGGATAAAATGCTCTGGACTGATGATATAAATAGAGCATTTATCTTAACAGCTTGTTTTGTTTCCTTGTTTGCATATTATTTTTCACACTTGATGATGTTTCAGATCATCAAACAGGTTTTAATATTAGATAAAGATAACTCAAGTAAATACAAAATGCAGTTTTTAAATGATACAAAAACATTATCCAAACCTACCTGGCCCTTATCAACTGGGTTATGCAGCAGGACAATTTTCTAAAACATACCACAAAGTCCACTTCTGAAAGTCTGATTCAGATGGCAAGGAATCGGCTTGTTTAGTGACCTTAAGTACACAGTGAGATTAGGAACGCCTCAATCGCTACAAATAAATCTGGTAAAAGCCAGCAGGTCTCTGGTAAACCACTTAGTATTAGTGTTACAGTTAGGCTGAATTTTATCTACATGCTGAACAAGCATAGTTTCTGTTACCTTTCACATCTAATTTCTTACATACATTTTGACTTTAGAATCCATTTGTTAGAATATTCCCCTACAGATGAAAATGAACGGTCGAAAAATAAACAAGAAAACAAAAAAATAAAAAACAAGTGAAAAGCTAACTTGCTTACCTAAGCATGGGTTCTCAGAAAGCTATGAGACACAGGAATGGAGATTTCCTCACTACTGCAAAAAACCTTTCTACATAGTATAAGAGTTTGAAAAAACAAGACAACTGCACTTAAAGTTTTGTGAAGATGTTTCATCTCTCATCCAACAGGCTTGTTCAGTTCTGTGCTTTGTGAGTTCATTATTAGGGAAGTAAAAAGAGGAAGAATGCTAAATGATCACAATAACAATCCCCTTCACAAATATTGAGTGATAGTGGATATATTCATCCAGTGGTGCAGCTATTGTTGAAGATTAGAAAGCAGTGACAAATATCCATAACAATTTTTAATAAAAAATGGGACTTAAAGGCTTTATTGTTTTTATTTTTATGTGATATTCTTCTAACTTCAATGTAGGACAAGAAAAAATGCAGATTTTTACAGCAAACCAAAAATTGTAAATTGTTTGGATTATGCGTTGGAAAAATGGCTTAATCTATAAACATAGATTTTCTGTTGCTTTATTAATTGTTGATGTTTGATACCTGTATTCCTGCAGGAACATCAGCTCAGCAGCTGGATGCCTCCTTCAGTACCAATGCCTCCTTGGAGTTTTTTGAGCTGGATTTGGCTGAGCCATCTCTGGATATGAAATCATGTGGCAGCCTTTCCTCCAGTCACAGGTAGAATAAAGAACTCTCCACAGTAATATTACTGATTTTCTATTTTCCGTCCTGCTGTTAATCAGGGCTTCTTCTTCTTCTTCTTCCTCCTCACAGATACCACAAGTTGGCGTGGGGTCCATATGGTATGGACTCCCAGGGTCATCCCTCTGGTGTTCTCATCGCAGGTGGGGAGAATGGCAATGTTATCCTGTACGACACTGCAAAGATAATGAGCGGAGAGAGCGACGCCATCATCGTTGAGAGCGACAAGCATACAGGGCCAGTGAGAGCTCTGGATGTCAACCCTTTCCAAGTATGGTGCTTTTCACCTTGTGCAAAGGATTTCAGCTTGAAGCTGGGTTTAAACCCAAGGCAGTGACTCATTTGGTGTTTTGTGTCCTTTTTTCCTGCAGACAAACCTTGTTGCATCAGGTGGAAATGAGTCTGAAATCTATATCTGGGACATGAATAACTTTGGCTCTCCAATGACACCAGGACCTAAAACACAAGTATGAAGAATTTTAGCCCTTTTAGTCTAGAACTTACTCAGCTTGACTCGGCTCAGCTGAACTTGGTTTTTAGGGTTTTTTGATAGGTGGTAGTATCTCTTACTAAGTGCTTTTTTAGCACCTATTCGGCCGGGGTCTGAAGCGATCTGAATCAGTCCGAAAGTGTAACGTCAACAGATTGCACGCCACTGATTGGCCAGTCAGGGGCATCACTCGATGAGTCATAAGAATGACTCCTTCACAACAATCAAAACTGCCATTTTTTAAAAACCTTCTAACAATGGAAATGGCTACACAAAAACCAACACCGTGGTGCTCAGTTGTTTTAGAAAACAACCAAAACTGAGTTGAGCCGAGTAGGTATTAGTGGAAAAGGGCCGTTACATAACAACAAAATAAATATCTACTAATGGCATTTTCCATTTTCACCCAGTTGCATTTTTAACCAATGACTAATGATCAAATATGACTAAAATGTTTTCCTTTTCAGAACTTTAACTCTTTAAATGTCAGTTTGTTTACAACATGCCATGGTTAATTTTCACTATACTAAATGTGAGGCTGAACATTTTGGGAGAATTACTACAGTTAGTGATAAATCCATAACTAGAATCAGCATTAATTTGGATGCTTTTTTGTTGTAAGGACTACACAGTACCTTTCCTCTGTCATTTATTCATTTCGTATACTTAAATGTACCATTTAGTGCTTTTTTGGTATTACTCTGCTATTATATCATCATCTTTCAAATATTTTAGTTGTCAGTTTTATGTTGGGCACAGTTTTTCTCAATTCATGTATCTAATTAACATTTGTATATGACACTAATGAATGAACAGTCCATATGAATGTTTTATGTTTTTCTCTTAAAGCCAATGGAAGACATCAGCTGTGTGGCTTGGAACAAACAGGTCCAACACATCTTGGCCTCAGCCAGCCCGGGGGGTCGAGCTTCAGTGTGGGACCTCCGCAAAAATGACCTCATTATCAAAGTTAGCGACCACAGCAACAGAGTACGTTGTCAGAGAAACCCTCAACATGCTGCATTTTCTCCCAGTCCTTTGGCTCTGTCTACTCAACTTAAACAGTCTAAGATCACTGTTGCGTGTTTCTTTCCAGATGCATTGTTCTGGGTTGGCTTGGAACCCAGAGGTGGCCACTCAGCTGGTCTTGGCTTCGGAGGACGACAGGATGCCCGTCATCCAGATGTGGGACTTACGATTTGCTACCTCTCCTCTCAAGATTCTAGAGCATCACTCAAGGTAAGCACTGATAAATCAGTCTAAATCTAATCTGTTTTATACTTTTTCTTACTGATAACAAGTCTCCCTAAAGACCAAAGCAGACTAAATGTATCTTTATAACAAGCTTTATCTGCGTATCCAGAGCCCGATATATCATATTCCTTTGATCCATAAGCTAATATAATTCTAAGATATAGCAAACACTTGAGCCCACTTACTCTTTCTTGCTGCTGGAATACTCAATGTAGTATCATTGTTAAACTGCTGCCGACTAGTCCATAAAATACAGTTTCCTCCTGTCTGAGCTATGTTTGCGAAAACCTGCAGTGCTCAGCTGTACCATTAGAACCATTAGACCTTTAAATAGTGTTGATAATGTGAAATAAAAGATTGTAACTGTGCTCTTTTTCATTTGACGGTTCATTTGACAGGGGTATCCTGGCCATTGCCTGGAGTTTAGCAGATCCTGAGCTGCTTCTGAGCTGTGGGAAGGATAGCAGGATTTTGTGCTGGAATCCAAACACAGCAGAGGTGAAAATTCTGTGTGTGTGTGTGT